AGGTAGCCATTGCTACCCCTTTGTGATTCAGAGAAGTTAGCATCTTGACCAGGAATACACATGGCTTCTAAAACCCACAGTACTTTCTTAACAAGTGTGCCCTGTTGACTCTCCAGTAGGTGGTGTGCTCATTTTGGGACATCAGAGGTGTTTTCTAATTCTGAAGACTTTATAAAGTCTTTATGTGTTTCTGTAGTTCTTTTAGGTATTTTTAATGTGTGGAACTCAACAATGTCACATAGATTCAATGATTAAAGGCAACTATTGATATTAAAATATGTTTTCCAAGTGGAGTTAATCCTCAACAATCAAAATGTCTTTAAAACTAATGTTCTTTATTATTTTGTGAAATTGTGATGATTCATATTCATAAGATGACTAATTTGTACACATTCCATTGTTCTCAACAACTGATTCTCTGTTGTGTGATAAAATTTCCTTCAAAGCTTTTAAAATTCTGGCTCTTAGTGTAGATCATCTACTTTAGTGTCATCCTGCTTGGGCAGAAATAAACTGTTAATGAAATTTTAAAATTTATCTATTATTTATTTTTTAATTGACTCACTTTTAAAAGCATTTATTTGAAAGGAAGAATGACAGAGAGGGCTTCCATCCACAGGTTTATTCCTCAAATGCCTGCAATAACTAGGGCTTGGCCAGACTGTAGTCAAGAGATCAGAAACTCAATCTGGATCTTCAACATGGCTGGCAGGGGCCAAGTACTTGAGCCCTCACCTTCCTCCTAGGGTGCACATTAGTAGGAAGCTAGAATCAAAAGCAGACCTGGCATTCAAATCTTGGATATGAAATGTGGGCATCCAAGTAACATCTTAACTACTGCATCAAATGCCCACTCCCTAAAATGTTACTTACTACTTTATTAGGATATACTTTCTTTGATGTTTCCTTAATGCCACAGTTGGGAAGGGATGGAATTTGTTTTGCTTTGAAAGTGTGTAAATATTTGGCTATATTTTCTATGAATATCATTTCAGGATGGTAGAGGGGTGACTTAGAAAATTATTTTTTGTAAAAATAAGCATTAGTCTGATGAGGTTGAGAGCTATAGCCCTATACAAAATGTTTCTAACTGAGTCTGACACAAGTATGACAAGTGTAGCCGTAGTGGAGTTTCCCCTTTCAGGAATTTATACATTTGAACGTGCTGCTTTCAGCTTTTGTTTATTCTGCATGATCAGCATCGAGTGCATTCACTGCTATCACTGAATACTCGAGATGAGATAATTTATAAAGAGAAAAATTTATTTTGGCTCAGCATTCTAGAAGTCCAAGAGCTTGCCACCAGCATCAGCTAGCTTCTGGTGAAGGCTTGGTGCTGTTTCAGTCATGGCGGAAAAGCAGAGCGCCAGCAAACATGCGAGGAAGTGAGAAAGCATGAGCGTGAACTTGCTGGGCCTGACTCTCCCTGCTCTCATGGTCTGTCATCTAGTCCTGAGAGAGTGGGAGAAAGGCTTTCATTCATTCATAATGTCTGTTAAACATCCCAGCACCTCGGGACTAAGCTCCAACATAAGTTTTGGTAGGAAAAAACCATAGCAAGCATTAAGCCTTTTCACATGAATAGCTGCTGTATTGGAATTGAATCTTGAAGCCTCTACCTTGGGGGAAGGTAGAAGAATTCTCTTTCTCTTTACCACCATTCTTCCATGGTGCTTATCTTCATATCCCCAAAGGCGGAGTTTATCTCTGATTTAGGAGGCTCATTGAAAACCTTTGAAAGGCACCACTGCCAGGTCCAGAGGGTACAACTGGTCTGGGGTCACACCCTTGGCATGGCCCAGCTTCCAGGATGCCACTGGGAATGAGGGAGCATTGCATCTTGAAGAATATATTATAATTGCCTCATGAAATTTTACTTTAAATTTCCAAGTAAGTTCTTGTAACTTAATACTTTTCCCATAATGCTTAATTAGTTCAGTTTTTTTTCCTGTCAAAAGCCATACTCTCCATTAGCATACTTTAATACTTTATCACTGTTTAAATACTTTATTGCTATTTACGTACTTTATCAGTGTTTGACACTGTTTTCTGGGAAACCACCTGGGCAGAAAGAGGTAAGTGAATTGGAGTATAATATTTAACTTTATTTAGAAACATTATGTTTATAAATAGGCTTATGAAAGGGGTAAAGGAGTATGTCAGGCAATTGCTTTCTTGTATTTTTGGATTGGAAAAATACAGCAGAGTATACATATGAAGTGACTTCCAAGACCATCACTTAGAGATGACCACATCTAACATTTTGGTAGAACTTCTACAGTTTTTAAATATATGTGTGAGTATGTATTTATATGAGCTTTGTTGTTACAGAGCTGAGTTTTTCTATACATTCTGGTTTTTTTTGGAACCTACTTTTAAAAATTTACCAATGTATCTGGGGCTGGCGCTGTGGTATAGCAGGTTAATCCTGCACCTGTTATGCCAGCATTCAGTATGGGCACCAGCTTGAGTCCCAGCTGTTTCACTTCCCATCCAACTCCCTGCTGATGTGCCTGGGAAGGCAGCGGAGGATGGCCCAGGTGCTTGGGCCCTTGGAAGAAGCTCCTGGCTCCTGAATTTGGCCTGGCCCAGCCTTGGCCATTGCAGGCCATTTGGGGAGTGAACCAGTGATGAAAGATCCCTCTCTCTCTCTCACTCTCTCTCCTCTTTCTTTCTCTGTCTCCCTCCCTCCCTCTCTCTCTGTAACTCTGCCTTCAAATAAATTTTAAAAAAATTTACTAATGTATCATAAGAATTACCTATGCTATTGAGAATTTTTCTTTCACTATCTGGATTATATTTTTTTGTGTTCACTTTTCTTCTGTGTATGCATTAGTTTATCTTTACTATGATAAAATATCCAAGACAAACTACTTATGAAGGAAGGAGGTTTATAATGGCTTACAGTTTTGGAGAGTCACAGTCCAAGATCAGGTGGACCCCATTGCTTTGGCCACCTGGTGAGGCTGACAAATGGCAGTAGTGGAGGTGTGCAACTGAGGGATCACTTAGTGAGTCAGGAAGCAGGGAGAGTGACTGCATCTGACCCTCGGGCTTTAAAAACCAACCCTCTTGTGAGCACCATCTCCTGAGGGCACTCCCTGCCACAACCTAAGGCCCTCTCATTACATCCACCGCCTAAAATCCATAACAGGGCTATGTTTCCTCCTGTCTTAGTACCATGAACTTATGATTTTTGTGGTTTAAATGTTTACATGAGTTCAGGAGACATATTCTATTTAAATCATAGTACTCAGACACATACCATATTAAAAATCAAATGTATCATTACAATCCATTATTGCTATCTTTAGCATTCTTGTTTATTCATTTATATGCTCGTTTTCCCTAATCAGTGGCAGGAGGAAATGGTTTCTTTACCAATCTTCCTCCTGTAAAATGGGAAATTTGGCACATTTATGACCTCACTTTTCTCCAGCTCTTACACTTCCAAGTTTTTGGTTGATATAATCAAGGATTATTAAAAGCAAATGTATCATCACTATTTATAATTTTTTTAAAGTAGGTCATGCATTTTCTAATTATATAATAACTTTTGACATTCTCTTTAAGGCTGCGAGACAAGATTTGGCTAAGTTTCTTTAGACTTAGCTCTGTTTAAATTGTTCCCTGTGGACATCAATTCAGTTATATTTCCTCATTCCTTAAGCTCAAATCATAACTAACTTTTTAAAGATTTAGTTACTTATTTGAAAGGTAGAGCTTCAGAGAAAAAGAGGGAGAGAGAGGTAGAGAGTGGGATAGTCTAGCTGCTGGTTCATTCCCTAAAGGACCACAACGGCCAGGGCTGGACCAAGCTGAAGCCTAGAACTTCATCCAGGACTCCCACATGGATGGGAGGGGCCCAAGCACGTCCCACTGCCTTTCCAGAGGCACTAGCAGGAAGCTGGATTGAAAGAGGGGCACCAGGGACTTGAAGCAGTGCTCATATGGAATGTTAACATCACACTGATCTACCCCATGCCTAATTTAAATATTCAAGTAACTGTTAAGCCGTGAGTACCTGAGAATTTCATCAAGAATTTTTTCATCTATGCCAATGCATAGATAAGAATGTTTTTTATTTCATGAAAAATGCTTGGGCCACAGTCTTTTTTTTGACAGGCAGAGTGGACAGTGAGAGAGAGAGAGACAGAGAGAAAGGTCTTCCTTTTTTGCTGTTGGTTCACCCTCCAATGGCCGCCGCGGCCGGCGCGCTGCGGCCGGCGCATGGCACTGATCCGATGGCAGGAGCCAGGTACTCTCCTGGTCTCCCATGGGGTGCAGGGCCCAACCACTTGGGCCATCCTCCACTGCACTCCCTGGCCACAGCAGAGAGCTGGCCTGGAAGAGGGGCAACCGGGACAGAATCCGGTGCCCTGACCGCAACTAGAACCCGGTGTGCCGGCACCGCAAGGTGGAGGATTAGCCTAGTGAGCCGCGGCGCCGGCCTGGGCCACAGTCTTTACCGTCCATGTTCTCTAGGTAGTGCCCCATAGAATTCCAGCATTAGAGCTGCAGAACAGGAGACTGATTGAGGTCTGTCTGCTTACTGTTTCTTTGTAGGTGATCCAGCTTCCAGTGTGGATATTTAAATCATTGTTTTCTTTTCTCAAATACTAAGCTTTTTTAAAAAAAAAAAAAGATTTTATTTATTTATTTGAGAGGTAGAGTTATAGACAGTGAGAGGGAGAGATAGAGAAAGGTCTTCCTTCTGCTGGCTCATTCCCCAATGGCCGCAATGGCCGGAGCTGCGCCGATCCGAAGCCAGGAGACAGGTGCTTCTCCCTGGTCTCCCGTGCGGGTGCAGGGCCCAAGCACTTGGGCCAACTTCTACTGCTTTTCCAGGCCACAGCAGAGAGCTGGATTGGAAGAGGAGCAGCCAGGACTAGAACTGGTGCCCATATGGGATGCTGGCACCACAGGTAGAGGATTAATCTACTGTGCCATGGCACCGGCCCCCAAATACTAAACATTTTAACCTGACCACGCCATCATGATAGTTTTATTAATATATTTTTTAGAGATTTATTTATTTATTTGAAAGGCAGATTTACAGAGAGGCAGAGAGAGAGAGAGAGAGAGGTCTTCCATCCGATGGTTCACTCCCCAGATAGCCTCAATGGCCAGAGCTGGGCTGATCCAAAGCCAGGAGCCAGGAGATTCTTCCAGGTCTCCCAAGCAGGTGCAGGGGCCCAAGGACTTGGGTCGTCTTCTACTGCTTTCCCAGGCCATAGCAGAGAGCTGGATCAGAAGTGGAGCAGCTGGGACTTGAACCGGTACCCATTCAGGATGCTGTCACTGCAGGCAGTGGCTTTTCCTGCAATGCCACAGTGTTTTATTAATTATTTATTAATTATTTTCATTAACTATTTATTAATTAATGCCCCATATTTTATTAATTTTTGCTGCTACTCTAGGGGCAGTTTAGCTTTGAAGACTTAAATCTTTTTTTCCCCATTTTCTTTTCAAAATCTTTAAAAAAATTTTTTTTTGAGAGGCAGAGAGAAAGAAACAGAGACAGAGTGATCTTACATCTGCTGGCTCACTCCCCAAATTTCAGCAACAGCCAAGGCTGGGCCAGGCTGAAGCCGGGAGCCTGAAACTCCATCTGGGTCTCCTATGTGGGTGGCAGAGACCCACGTGCCGAATCATCACCTGCTGTGTCCCAGGTGTACATCAGCAAGAAGCCAGAATGCAAAGCAGAGTAGGGACCTTAGCAGAACTCAGGCACCTTAATATGGGATGTAGACATTCCAACTGGGGCTTAACTGCTGTGCCAAACTCTTTTTTTTTTTTTAATTTGTTTGAAAGGCAGAGTTAGAGAGTGAGACAGCAAGAGTGAGAGGGAGAGAGAGAGAGAGAGACTTTCCATCTACTTATTCATTTCTCAAATGGTTCCAATAGCCTGGAACTCCATCCAAATCTCCACTGCTCCACTTCTGATCCAGTTCCCTGCTAATGCACCTGGGAAAACAGTAGAACACAAGGCCCAAGAGTAGGAGACCCAGATGGAGTTCCTGGGTCTTGACTTCAGCCTGGCCCAGCACTGGCCATTGTGTCCAATTGGGGAATGAATCAGTGGATGGAATATCTCTTTCTCTCTCTCTTCCAGTCTCTATGTACCCGTGCCTTTCAAATAAATAAGTCTTTAAAAAAAGAAAGAAAGATCTCCTTCTTTTGGAATACAGTTAGCCCTCTACATTCATGCATTCCTCCAACTGAGAATCAAAAATATTCAGAAAAAAGGTGCATCTGTACTGAACATGTGGGGAATATTTTTTCTTTTCTTTATTTCCTAAGCTTTACAAAAGTCATCTGGAGATTATTTAAAGTATATGGATTGGAGCAGGCATTTGGTCTAACATGCAAGATGCCTGTGTGTCAAATCAGAGTGCCTGGGTTCAATTCCTGGTTCCAGATTCTCATTCCAGCTTCCTATTTGTATGGACCTTGGGAGTCAGTGGTGATGGCTCTAGTCACTGGGTTCCTGCTTCCATGTGGGAGACCACATTGAATTCCCAGGTACTGGCTCTGGCCCTGGCAGCCCTGGCCATTCTGGGCATTTGTGAAGTGAACCTAGTAGATGAGAGCTCTCTGTCTCTCAGATAAAAATAAAAAAGTGAGAGGCTGTGTGAGGTTATATGCAAATACTATGCCATTCTATATAAGGGATGTGAGCACCCATATAATTTGTAACTCTGAGGGGTCCTGGGGTCCCAAGGACAGCTGTTTTTCACGTGCCTGGTGCTTGTTGTCTGTTCACATAGCCCTACAGAGGAACTCTCAGCCCAGAGCTAGGGGATAAGATGGGTGCTGTCACATAAGGTGTGGGCCCCTGGCTGACTCCATGGTCAAAGGAAAGGAAAAGGAAAAAGTTTAAATGTGCTGTGGTTTGCTTTACCTTTTCAGAGAAAAGGGAGAGAGAGAGAGAAAGCAAGAGGTAGATAATAATCAGGGAAGGGAAGCTTGACTACAAATTTTTTTAAAGATTTATTTATTTTATTTGAGAGGCAGAGTTACAAACAGAGAGAGAGAGAGAGAGAGAGAGAGAGAGAGAGAGACAGAGTGAAAGGTCTTCCATCCACTGGTTTACTCCCCAGATGGCCGCAGTGGCTGGAGCTGTGCCAATCTGAAGCCAGGATCCTGGAGCTTCTTCTGGGTCTCCTATGTGGGTGCAGGGGCCCAAGCACTTGGACCATCTTTGGGTGCTTTCCCAGGTGCATTAGCAGGGAGCAGAATTGGAAGTAGAGCAGCCAGGACTCAAACCGGCACCCATATGGGGTGCCGGTGCTTAAGGTGGGGGTTTAAGCTACTACTCCACAGTGCCGACCTGTCGCTAGCATCACTTGTCACACAGCTCGACAAGGCTAATGCAACAAGTGGGAGCACGGGAAAGAATCACATAGAATCATGATAGTCTTTTCAGTATAATTTATTATTCAATACTCAATACCACTCAATATATATATTCAGTGCACACATCTAAAGGTCAATACCACTCATTATGTCATTAGTCCGCAAGTCATAACACACATCTAGGAGTAAGGCAATTTCCAGAAATATCCAGCCATAGTATAACACATAAAAAGCATAACCAATCTATACTCATGGCTAGGGATGTAATATGAACGCTGCGTTCTCAAGGTTCCTATCACGGTCATGAAAAATCAAAGTCCAAAGTCCAGAGTCCAGAGTCTCCGTTACCACTCGGAGAGATGGATCTCAGAACAGTCACTTACAGGCAGGAGTCGTGGGATGACTGGCACTCTGGGCAGTAGGCTTGAAATTCCAAGACAAACAGCAAGGTGAAAGGTTGGAGAGGTCACCTGATGAGAGGTTGGCTCCAGTGGAGTGATGAGCAGAGCTTCAGTCAGTGGAGACTTGGCAGAGTTTCACTTGACTGGGCCATGGTCCCTGAGGGGATGCAGAGCAGTGGTGAGGCTTCCTTTTTATCCCCCGCCCCTGGGGTAGGTGGGTGGTGCATGTGCCCTAGGCTGTCACCAGTCACAAGCTCATCTTTTTAGGTGTCACCGACCAGATGTTGGTGTCTGGGTGTGACCAATGGTGTGTTGGGGGTCTTCTGGGTGTGGCCAATCGTGGTGCAGTAGTGAGGGTGAAGCAATGCAGTAGCCAGCTGGTTGGCTGCTTCTTGTGATGTAATGTCCCCCAGTCCTTATCAGGCCTCACCACCTGTGTCTGTCCGGGCAGATGGTCTGGGCAGTTCCTGGTGCTTAGTGGCCTTAGCTTAAGTAACTCCATTTTGGTTTTGCTTTTTCTCTTTCTTTTTGGGTTAGGGGTGCCCTGCCCTGTAACTCTTTTGGGACTCCTGTGGGATTCCCCACATGGCCCCGCACATTTTCTTTTTTATAAAATGCTGAAGCTTCATTAAAATAGAAACTTGTCCCAATGTTCAAACACTTTTATACATGATCTTATTTTATTCTTAAAACTAATATAATTCCTGTGATCATTTATTCAGAAGGTTGTGGATGAAATACTTTCCTAACACTAATTCTTTTTTTTTTTTTCTTTTTTAACTTTAGTTTTCTTAGCCTCCTTTCCTTCACCTAGAAAGCAGGGTTTGAATTCCTGGAAAAAGATAGTATTTACCTCATAGAGCTGTAAAGATGACATGAGATAAGTGTAAAGGAATTGTCAGAACACAGATTGATGATAGTGGCCATGCAAGACATGGCCCAGACAGAGTATGGCTCTAGAATAGGCCTTCAGCAGTGAAACCCTGGGGACACAAAGAAGTCCACACCAGGAGTCTGAGGAGGAGTGGCCAGAGTGTCAGAGACAGGCCAGGGGAGGCAGGGGAGTGAAGTCAGGCAATCAGAGGGGATGGAGCAATTTAAGATGAAGAGGACCGCCCTTAGTGTTGTGCATCGGGAGCCTGAAGAAATTACCACTGGGTTTACTGGTCAGCAGCTCAGTGGTCTCAGCCTCAGGCAGGTTCAGTAGAGAGCAGGCAGGAGGCAGGCTGCGGTGGAGGATTAGATAGCCAAGTGCAAGCTGCTAGTAAAAAATGTTCTCCCTTGGGATAAAGGGAAAAGGTGGGGGGGGAGGGGAGATGATAGGCCAGTGGCTAAACAGATACCCAAGATACTCCAGATTGGAAAATAGCATGTGAATTTCACAGGATAATAACATAATGTTTAAATCTTACCTCTGTGTTTATTTGAGAGGGAGAGATAGCGCTCTCATCTCCTAGTTCCCCCCCTAAATGTGTGCAGTGGCTGGGGCTGGGCTAGGGCCAAAGCTTGTGATCTGTCAGCTCCAAGTTAGAGAACCAGGAAAGCTGGTGGTTGAATTCACTGAGTTCAGTTCTGAAGGCCCAAACACAGGGATTCTGACGCCCGAGGACAGGAGAAGATGGATGTCTCCACTGACGCAGAGAGAGAGTTTGTGCTTCCTCTGCTTCTTTGTTCTATCCAAGCCCTCAGCAGATTGGTTAATTCCCGTCCATTGGTGAGGATGATCTTCTGCACTCAGTTTACTGATTCAAATGCTAGACGCATCCACACAGAAATGCCCACAAATGATGTTTTACCTGCTATCTGTTTTTTGTTTTTTGTTTTTTTTTTTGACAGGCAGAGTGGACAGTGAGAGAGAGAGAGACAGAGAGAAAGGTCTTCCTTTTGCCGTTGGTTCACCCTCCAATGGCCGCCGCGGTCGGCGCACCGCGCTGATCCAAAGGCAGGAGCCAGGTGCTTCTCCTGGTCTCCCATGGGGTGCAGGGCCCAACCACTTGGGCCATCCTCCACTGCACTCCCAGGCCACAGCAGAGAGCTGGCCTGGAAGAGGGGCAACCGGGACAGAATCGGGCGCCCCAGCGGGTCTAGAACCCGGTGTGCCGGCGCCGCAAGGTGGAGGATTAGCCTAGTGAGCCGCGGCGCCGGCTATCTGGGTTTCTCTTAGCTCAAGCTGGCACATTAGATTTACCATCAGAAGCAAACAATAAAGAAAGTAAAGTAACTTTCTGATTCTACTCCATGAGTCCCGCCGTGCATGGTAAGAGTCACATGTGTAAAACTGTCTATGATTTTTTAGTGATACACAACTGACAGAAGAATTGAAGGAGAGGGCAGAGGTGGTTATTGTGGGAATTGAACTTTTTTCAGAGACGTCACAATAACAATTTTCATTTCTTAAAATGATGTCAGAAGCATTTTAATTAATCAATTTAAATATGCATTAGGTAATTTTAAAACGAGGTTTGCAATCTGCTCCACAGCTGGGAAATGAGCTGAGATATTGCCTGTGTGTAATAAGCACAGAAGACAGTTTAGTCCTGCTGTTTCCAGAGAATCATAGAAGCAATAAACGGCCAAGATTGATTGTTCACCGTTTGTATTCTGTCACTGATCAATTAAAAAATATGTGTTCCTGTAAAATAGCAAAGATGATGCCCATAAGCCAATAAACTCTAAAATAAACAAAAATGCTAATGGATTTCTCCTTTTAGCATTTGGGAATTTTAAAAGGGCTTTAAACTATTAGCTTCCAGATCATCTTCCCAGAATTCACAGTGTTATTCAATCAGTCTTTGAATGGTGAAGGAGTGACAAGAGGACAATCCAAACAGCGTTTCTATTAATGTGCCCCTAAGAGCTGAAAACAACCTGGAAAACACATGCGTTCCTACTTCTGCTCTGCCAGCCAAGGCCTGGGGGACCAGAGCAAGAAGCGGGGACCGTGGTCTTTACGTAATCTGATGGCTCTGACTACCACAAACTGTGCTGGCTTCCACTGCAAAGATGAGAGAGATTAGAAACTTTATTGTTTGGCTTGAGGGTCAGAAGATCAGACACTACAACACTGAAAACAGAGTTGATTTAAGAATCATCCAGGCCGGCGCTGTGGCTCACTAGGCTAATCCTCCACCTAGCGGCGCCGGCACACCAGGTTCTAGTCCCGGTTGGGGTGCCCGATTCTTTCCTGGTTGTCCCTCTTCCAGGCCAGCTCTCTCCTGTGGCCCGGGAGTGCAGTGGAGGATGGCCCAAGTGGTTGGGCCCTGCACCCCATGGGAGACCAGGAAAAGCACCTGGCTCCTGGCTCCTGCCATCGGATCAGCGCGGTGCGCCGGCTGCAGCGCGCCGGCCGCGGCGGCCATTGGAGGGTGAACCAACGGCAAAGGAAGACCTTTCTCTCTGTCTCTCTCTCTCACTGTCCACTCTGCCTGTCAAAAAAAAAAAAAAAAAAAAAAAAAGAATCATCCACAGCAGCAGTGACTGACCCAGGTTCTTTGAAAAGAGATGTTAACTGTCCTTTCAAGATTTATCATCGACAGAAAGCAATGGGTGGCTTCTTGGTTTAGCTGTTAGACTGAAGTATGGAGATACTGTATGGAGATAAAGCTGAAAAATACAAGAACTTAGTACCTGATAATGCCAAAAATGCTGACAATGCAACTAAAAATGCAGAGCCCCTGATCAGTTAGGACATAAATAATCCTGATTTGAAGGCTGGTGTAATGGCGTTGGCTAACCTTCAGGTTCAATGTCATGATGATTACCTGGTAATGTTTAAGGCAATTCATGTTTTTGATTGAGGAGTGCCTGACACAGGATACAGCTGCTAAAGCAAATCAAACAAAAGAGGGCTCCCTTGTTGCTTAGACAGACAGGTTTTTGGTTTTGACACAGCAGATGCAGTTCTTAATGAAGCTGCTCAAATTCTGCGATTGCGGAGTATAGAATTAAGGAAGCTATGGTAGCTGTTCAGGCTATTATTGCCAATCCAAGACAGACCACAGACTGGGCTAAGTGTGAAGATGAGCACTTGAGGCTATCAGCTTCTCTCTGCCTTAACACACATTTGGGAACCACTTCTGGCGTCTGTTTCAAAGCAAAATGTTGGGGCCGGCACTGTGGTGTAGCAGGTAATGCCGCCGCCTGCAGTGCCCGCATCCCAAATAGGTGCCAGTTTGAGTCCTGGCTGCTCCACTTCCCATCCAGCTCTCTGCTCTGGCCTGGGAAAGCAGTAGAAGATGGCCCAAGTCCTTGGGTCCCTGCACCTGCATGGGAGACCTGAAAGAAGCTCCTGGCTTCTGGCATCAGATCAGTCCAGCTCTGGCCATAGTGGCCAATTGGGGAGTGAACCAGCAGATGGAAGACCTCTCTCTCTCTCTCTCTCTCTCTCTGCCTTTCCTCTCTCTGTATAATTCTGACTTTCAAGTAAAATAAATAAATCTTTTAAAAAATGAAAATAAAATGTTACATTTTCATGGAAGGAATCCCAAGAAATTGACTGTGTTCTGAAATTTATCACCATTGCTTTTTTTCTTAAATAAAGTTTGGGAAAGTTGGGGTGGAAAAAGAAAACACTTGTGAATCACACCCAAAGTATTTACACTGACAGAGAACAAGTGCAATTTGTTCCATTACAATGGGATTTTGGATCCATAGGTAGGATTTTAGACTGGCCTGAAAGATGGCAGAAAGGTGATGACTTGGTGTGGAACCAGTCTTCTAGAACCAGTCTTCAGTGGTTCTAGAAGAAGCCCTTGTGGGCTTGCGCTGTGGCATAGTGGGTAAAGCCGCCACCTGCAGTGCCAGCATCCCATATGGATGCCAGTTTGAGTCCCGGGTGCTCCTCTTCTGATCCAGCTCTCTGCTATGGCCTGGGAAAGCAGTAGAAGATGGCCCAAGTCCTTGGGCCCCTGTACCCATGCGGGAGACCTGGAGAAGCTTCTGGTTCCTGGCTTTGGATTGGCACAGCTTCAGCCATTGCGGCCATCTGGGGAGTGAACCAGTGGATGGAAGACCTCTCTCTCTCTCTCTCTCTTTTTTTTAACTTTTATTTAATGAATATAAATTTCCAAAGTACAGCTTATGGATTACAATGGATTCCCTCCCCATAACTTCCCTCCCACCCGCAACCCTCCCCTTTCCTGCTCCCTCTCCCCTTCCATTCACATCAAGATTCATTTTCAATTCTCTTTATATACAGAAGATCAGTTTAGCATATATTA